CGAACACATGGAGGTAAATAGCGCCAGTTTTCGAAAACGAACAAAAAAACAAGCCCCATTTTGCGTTGAAAGTTTCGTCAGAGCGTAATTTTTTATTGAAATAAAGGTTAGTTTTTAAACTTGCATCTAGTTTAGACAGGCTACTGCTATATTTAGGCGGAAAATCAGCATTAAGCAATGCGTAATTAAAGAAAAAAAAGGAAGTTTTGTAAATTTGTTTCTGGGAACACCTCGTTGATAACACATCTTGTTTAGCAAGAACAAAAGAGAAAGATCGGATTTTGATTCCGCGTACTTTTTTTTTTGTCCCATGGGTTTCAAAGGGTGAGTAATTCGTTCGATACCAAGTATACTATAACCGGTGTCCAAAGTGAAAAAGGTGATACTTCTCATTTATCTACATATGCGTCTATTTTTCCTCTACTTATTTTTGTGATCCGCTCCTGACTCACGCCAGTTCAGTTGAGGTTGTACGATATAAAGTGTTTACGACCCTATTTTATACAAAAGTTTCTAGAAGCTATATTTTAAAGCTACTTGAGAATTATTTTCTCAACTATTGCACGGTAGTCAATTATTTTGTAACAGTAAGAAAGCACGAAACAAACAGAGGGACGAAAACAGACATGTGCAAGCTTTCAGATTACAACAACATATATTTGACGCCAGCGAAATCTGCACCAGCAACCGTCGGTGGGGAAGGGGGGAACGAGCAAGAGGGAGAACAGAAGGGGGAGAGAAGTTTGAGAGGGAAGAAAAGGGGGCGGAAAGGGAAGATAGCGTTTTCGCATTTCTCGGAGGCGATGCATAAATGATCGCCTCCGAGAACACCACACTGAATGCGCGTCACAGCCAGAGGGATCATTGCATCCTATTATAGTTCACGGTAAGGAGTGCCAGGCATGCACGCCATTGTTCAACCAGACCAAAGTGGTTGGGGGGCACCGTTTTTTTTTTTCTCGTTCATTTATGATTAAGTAGTAAGTGACGCGTTTGATTTTAATATTTTCGCCGAAGAATGGCACTTTGAAGGGTTTCGATCTTTACTTCGCTAAATTTGGTGCAGTGCACATGTCACTGTATTTCATTTTGCTAATAATTCATCCAGTACTCCCCATTGAACTAACTTTTGCTTTTATTATACTGCCGTCCTATGCTCGTTAAATTATATTCGCTATTAAGAGAGTTAACCGAGCGTCTTATTATACATGTTTACTCGTTATTTCTAGGCACGGAAAAAGTGAGGGAGACGAGCTTATGGGAAGGGTTAGGGGGTAGACTTATATGCAGCTGCCTTTGTGTCCGCTGCACTGGCCGAACGTGTTTGAACGCGAAAGCCAAACGCCGGACGCCAGCGTTCCGCGTTCTGTCGCGTTCGGAGAGTGCAGTGGAGACAAAAGCAGCTAGCTTTAGGTCTACCCACTAATCATTCCAATGAGAGCTCGGCATTCTGACGTCACTGCGCGCTCTTGCCTCCTTCTATCCGTCACTTTCTCCACGCCTTCGTAGTGAAGTACATGGTTTCTAAACTAGATATATTGTTCTTGATCCCATAAAATACACAAAAAAGCTTGAGAAGACGCGCTGTTCTTCGCTTCCTTCTATGAAAAATTGCGTACCTAGTATTAGATAACTTTCTGCACGGGCATGGGTAGTAGATTTATCGTCATCGTCCTCGTGTGTCGAGATGGATTGATGGAATCAATTGCGTGTGTCTGCTGTCCCCTTGAAGTTGGTATATTAACATGTGCTCAGAAACCGCGGCAGCGAACACATCCAACACACTGGATTTTCTTCCCTTTTTCATCGTGCGAATAAGTGCACACGGATATCCAGCCCGTTGTGGACAAGTTGAGGGCAACTTGTTCGAAATAAAAGGTATTATTTATCTAAATTAAGGATTAATCTTAATGTTTTCTTCAACTGTCACGTTCGTGTGGCTATGCTAAAACTGTAAAAAAATTGACTCGTTTTTTTTTTCTTTTTGTTATAATATTTTTTACATATGAAATAATTCATTTTATTACACTAGCAGGCACCTTAGGCCGACAAGGGAGCGTTATGCATGCTTGTGAAACTTTGGAGGCGCACGTCGGGTGCAGCTGTGGGTGACGAGCAAACGGTAACGATGCATGACGGCGTTAAAGGCCGAAGGGCCAGACTCGAGATTCTGCAAGGCAGGAGGTCCTCCTCACCATGGAGGATGAGGAAGCAGGCAATGGTGGACAGGATAGAAGGGGGAAAAGAGGAAGCGAGGGAAAAGTAGAAAGCGCGCACTGGTCGTCGTTCTCTAACGTTAAAGGGGTACTCCGCCGATTTCTTCATGGTCCCCGATTTGCTTGAAATTTCGCTAAACTCGCCAAACAATATCGACAAATTAGTATCCCAAACATTAGGTCAAAATAATTTTTTTCACGAAGTTATTGAATTTACAATTTTGGTCCTCACCGTGTTTTTCAAACTGAAAGTCTCTACTGGCAACAATGAAAAAGTGACGTCAGTGGAAGTGCAGGGGTTCACTCTTTGGACTGTAGAATTTGTTCCCAACTGATTCGAAGCAATTTCATGGTGTCAAATGAATGCCTTGGAAGCTCGCTCCAGTCCCCGCGCTCCAGCACGGAACAAATGATTGGCATATTCTATTTTTTAGACTGCTCGCCCGACTGGCAAGCTTACCTTCAACTGACGTCACGGCCCTGAAAAGGGCGGGTATATTTGAATGTTTGTTTTTGCATCATTTTCATTTGCCGATTTTGCAATAACTATTATGAATTTCACGATACTAAATAGCATACCAGAAAGGGTAAAGGCCGGGGAGTCAGAAAATATAGTTCGTTGAGGTAGCTCAAAATTCGGCGGCGTACCCCTTTAAACAAACAGCAGACTTGATCGATGTGTAAGTGACGAGGGGAGAATCCACCACCAATGAAGCCATGACCGGCTATACTCCGTTTCACCTTGAGTCCGAGCGCAGAGGATGCTAAGAGCCATTGGAGCTAATCCAAGGACGCGTGAATGTCACGTGATCTTGGAGAGGGGCACAGCGATGCGCGGAAAGCGGCTGCGTCCACAGAGCGGGATTGGCTGGGATAGCTCGTAGCGTCCGCTGCGTCCGGACGTCAGGTGAAACGGAGTCTAGCACCGAACAAAATCCCCGCCCCACGGTCCACTAGAGACGCTCACTACTCCGAATATGAAACGAAAAATCAACGAGGGGGGAAAACTGTCCCTCTGTCTTGAAAACAATGTCAGCTGTCCATGCGGGACTGGTTCACTTTGAAGGAATGGTCGGGGGCATTCTCTTCTGATTCACCAATGTGCGCGTAGCTGGGCTTTGCTTGTGTGAGAAGTCTAAAAAACCGCAGGACTAACATTTTTTTTCCTTCCGCTCAACAATACACGACAAAGAATAAAAGTAAGAACATGGCGACGTTTAGTTGCTACTGCAAGAATAGGCCTCATTTGTCGCCCTTAAAGCTTCACTGCCTTTCTAAACGACGCCTTACAATGTATTCTCGTTGCGCTGTGATCTGCCCCATACTCCAATGATCGCCCCCATTTCCGTCTCCCCCAATCTGGCCTCTTGAACAATCGGGCAGTCGACATCATAGCAGCGAGAGCAAGGCCCGAGATAAAAGGGAGTAATATTAGACCAACAAAAATCCCGAAAAACTGTATTCGATACTTTTCCGGCGTTTTTGTGCAAGCGCTGTATTCTTTATCGAGTATCGTTATCGGATCGCAAAAATGATCTTTTAAGAGTCCTCAGTTACGTGTGGACGGGACCGAGCACGACGGTGCACTCTTAAAAAGACCGACGAACAGTGCGCGCTTGGATTACCTGTGCATCACCACATACGTACACATTATTTCATGAGTAGAATTCCTTTACTCTTTTTGGTGCTAGAAAGGTTACAAGACGTCCTAGCGCAAGCACCCTGCCCGCTCCGCGGTGGTATGTTGGACGCGCAATTAGGTTCACGACGTCTCTATCGTACTTCTTGTCGGTCATGCACAGAGTCGAAAGCTTTCAGTACTTCACATGACTGCCCTAGTGGGTACAAAAGCTCTCACTTCGGTCAATCACGGGCGGGTTCTGATGTTCTACGGGCAGACACTGACAAGGCGGCGCAGCCACCAGCTTTGGAACCCCAAATAACAAACAAGCTAGCTTACCCAAACCAAACCACCGGAGCGAAGCAGTATATAAATTATTTTCACCAAAGATTCAAGTTATGGACGTGAACATCACGTTTATCATTTGATTTACTGCAACACTAGGACTACGGCGACAGGATTCCTCACCAGCGATAAATTCTATCTTCTTTTGCGATTGGTTAACGCTTCGCAGTTGGCGAAAGCGGTTGGGAGAAATTGGTCGCGAAGCGGTTGGCAAGAACGCTCCCCGACCGCTCGATATCAGCCGCTTGCGGTTGACAACGTGTGGATCCGATTCACGGATGCGGACCCCCTTCCAGTGTGAACGCACCATAAACGCGGCACAAGAACAGTGGCTCAGTTGAGCCGAGCGCTTAGCGAACGTGTCATCGGGAGAAGTTAGTCGGCCGTTCGACGCATATTCTCTCCATTGAGTCCAGCCTTTAGGGCGATTGACTTAGGACCGCTGGGTTTGCGCCCGTTGAAGTGTCTCTCTTTTCTGGCGTTTGTCGAGCCCCCACTCTTGCAAGTAGACCAGGTGCACGAAGTTTCACGCTCGGACTGCCGCGATTAGCTACCTCCGCGCATGACCTTCGTGATGGCCGATCGCAGCGCGGAGCTGGTCGTTCGAAGCCGTCAGCGATCTCGGCAACTTTCCTTGACGAGTGTTTAATTTAGAGCTCCAGTAGTGCTCGACATTCGCTGTTGCCGACCCCGCTAAGTAAATTTAAACACGAAAGATTTCATTACTTGTTCATGACAGTTTTTCCGCGCAAAACAGCGTGCACGCTGGTCGAATGACTAGACTAATCCAGACCCTTCTCTCTCCCTTCTCTTCCCAGGCAACAAGTTCAGCTGCGACTGCCGCCTCGCCTGGGTCTTGCACCTGGAAAATGCCACCAGGAGTGACAAGTTCCGGCGCGAGCTGCGACACGTCAAGTGCGACTTCGAAGCCCAGGGCAATCTGAGCAGCAGCAAGGTGTCCCGACTCAGTGTCAGTCAGCTGGGCTGTTCCGAGGACTACGCTAAACCCAGCTTCGTCACGGCATCGCGCGGCAAGGTTCCCCCGCGGCGTCCGTCAGTCGAAGACAAGGGAAGACGTGGCGACGACAATGAAGGAAACAAGATCGTGGGCGATGGCGCCGTTTTGAATGTTCCTGACACGGTAACCAAAAATGAACGCGACCGGGACGCGCAGTCGATGGACAACGACGTGGAAGTGGTGCTCAGCCAGCAGAAGGCGCTGCGCAAACATACTTCTAGGTCTCGGAAGAGCAACGGGAGCCCAGCTAAAGCCGTGGCGTTTGCTCTTCAGGCACTCCAGTTTATGGGACTGACTGCGTTCTCCAAGACCCTGTCTACGTGTAGGTGATCCATGATAGAGCTAATTAGTGACTTTTTTTTAAACAAAAACGATTTGTGTTTGTCGAGAGAGATCTGAGTGATAAGGAGATCGGATTAGCTAGAAGGCGGTGACCCTAGTTTTTTCCAATTAGCGAGAGAATGACGGATTGATTTTTGTGCCACATGATTTCACTATCCCAGCCTCCAACCAAACAAGCCGGATCAAGCGTTCAATATACGAAGCTGCACAGTGAGGGTATCGCGCTAATTCCCAGTTTTGCGTCAAAGTTTTTGGTCACAGTGGCGTGGCCAGGAATGTTTTACAGGGGCGGCTGAGGTGGCTGGGGATGTGCATGTCTTGGGGTGCGGAGAGGGGGAGGGGGCGTCAAAATGCACGCGCATAATATAGGGTCGTTTGGATTTCGGGGGGCTGAAACCCCATAAGCCTTCCCCCCCCCCTTCCCCCTCCTGGGTACGCCCCGGGTTGGTTACGTAATAGCTCAGTCATGAGCCGATCGACCAAGTTTGCAATATAAAATGGTTCACTGCTCAGTTTGTGCAACAGTGGTGCGGCGGCGAATTTGCCTTAAACGGGTTGAGACCTTCCCGCAAAAGATACCTTAATGGGCCCGTTAGTGCATGTACCTCAGGACTGACATAGTGCGAAGTCAGCGGTGCTTCGTGGCTGATGCGAGGTCTGCCCCGTGTCTATCGACCAACACAGCGTTTACAAACAAGCCCACGCTTGCCCGCATCGGGTGGGGGCACTGAGCCTGCGCAGAAACCACGCTCGCCAGAGGCGTAGCATCCGCGCATGCGCAGTGCCGACAGCAGCGCCATCGCAGTGGCGTGAGATCAGAGAGGGGAGTTGGCCTATAACGCTGAGTTAGAGCTGTGGTTATTGCGCTTAATTGGCGCTGCGGCGTATGTCTGAACAGGCCTTAAGGCAAAGCTGCGTGTCATCAGCTGTACCAATAAAAAAAAAAAACTATTATTTCGTGTGGTAAGACGCGGCCGTAAGTCATAGTCGCCATGAAATTAAATTTGGAAACACAAAAGAACACACCCCGGTAATGCTACAGTAGTTGTAGCGATGACAAAATGTTTTTGTATCCCATTTGCTTTGTCACGCGTAACGTTTTAATTGAGTGTCCATCGTGGCATAGTTAAAGTGTGGGTGCCTACTGCGCGTGGAGCAGTGGGATTGGATGTACGGAGTGCGGCACGGTTATCGCGATCGCCACAATCCCGTCCTTCCTGCGCTTTTATTGCCCTTTAAAAGGTCCGATACAAAAAAAAAAAAGAAAACCAGCGTAGTGAATTTACTTCGGGCCTCAATTTTCAGCTGTAAAACTTGTTCATTGCTATAGTATATGAGTAAGATATGGGTAGTCAAGAATGTTGTGCTGGTCCTCACCGTGCCGCGCAGTGTTTATTTCACCTTGTATACAATGCCCCTTTCAGGCACGTTGCCAGGGAGGGACGACATAAAACCCTCCCCCTCCCTCCCCCCCCCCCCCCCCCCCCCTTCGAAACAAAATCCTGGTTACGTGCCTGGCCCTTCTGGTGCATTGCCTGCACGGAAGGGCCAGGCATAAACTTCTATAAGGGACAGATTTATGCCCACGTCAGGTCAGCTCAACCATCTCATTCGTACCGTATCTCTGGTAGTGCCCATCTTTCAAAGCGCTTATTTCTCCACGATCTTTTTTATAAAAAGATCGTGGAGAAAAAGATCGTGAATACTGCAGGCCGCAATTGGCCTGCAGTATTCCTAAATAAAATATGAGGCTCTATTTTTACGCTAAAATGCCTCGTCTGAGCGCTGCATGAACATTTTCACGGCATCGGTCGCAAAAGTTTCGGGTGTGTTCTAAGGTCTCTCACCTGGGCCATAGCTCATGCGAGTAGGAGGGGTGCAAATACCCGGCCTAGAGGAATGTCTGAAGGATATCGCATCAAAGGTCGAACATCAAAACGTTTCTTTAAGTTAAAGAAACAAGACAAAAACCTTGGAAACCTTCTGGTGGCTTTGAATATTGAACCACTAATTATCTTACCTAAACGTCGGTTCCCAGTTTGCGTATTCCTAGCTGTTCCGTTGGAAGTTCCTCCCCCCAACTTCGACTACCTTCGTTCTTTGTATGTGTTGAAAGATTTAGTGTATTAAACGAACGACGTAAAATTAACTTTCAGTGTCGGGTATAAATGCCCTATTCTTAACTACTCGCGAATATAAAACCAGGACCTGTTTTTGCAAAAAAACCAAAGCATCGTCAAAAATGGTAAGCGCATCTAGTCCTAAGCACACGATTCGTGCTCTGAGGGTGACTTCATGAAACCCTTCTAACGTACTTTAAGGTTTTTTTTTTTTTTTTTTTCTTTTTTTTTTTTGTTCAACCCTTGCTTGACACCGTTGCCTGAGTCATCAAACTGCGAAATTGGTACTTTCTATTTCGCCCTTATTTTGTGATAAGTTTCCTTTACGAAGAAAAAAAATCGTATATTTCCCGTTAATAGCTGCGCGAAAAAATACATGTGATAAAATTTAAAGCTGCGAATCTGTTTAAGCGATAATACAAAGGACCAGGACTGTCTCATGTCGCCTTGAATTGGAACTGTGTTTTACAAATGTGCGCATGTTTCAGTGTTTTCTAAGTGACCCTTAGCATGGTGTTCTAGACCCACGTACTGTTGCGAGATTCGTCGAGCGGCCCCAGTGGCTCTCACTAAGTGTACTTTTTGCACCTGCACAACAAATTACGGGGGAGCTTCAGCTGATCGTTTTTGCACTTTGATAAGAAATATCCGATACTGCTCCGACGCTGTCACGCATTCGCGAGAAAATGACTCACTTCGGGCAAGAATACTTTCCGGTGGTGTCTGTCTGAAAATCTTGAATATCTGGAGTCTACCGATTGTTTTAGTGTTGCTGATTGCAGTTTTTATTCGACTGCCTTGAATGTGTGCACGACGGATCATCTTAAACGAGTTTGTTTTGAATAGTATTTTATGACACAATGAACTACCGTATAATGTTCTCAAGCGAGATAGTTGCCGCTCTATGTTGTAACTGGTTTTCATTTGTCATTTAATCATTATAGTGAGTGTTAGATGCATGACAACGAGGGTGTCAGGAAAGTAGCCAACACGTTTACCCGCTAAATACGCGTTCTAAATATTTCCAAGAGATTTAACATATTTTTAGCTGATATCCCCGCAATAGTGCAAAAACGAAACTGCTCAAGCTCCGAATTCTTGAGGAAAGGACTGCGGCCGGCCTTTGCCGATGCAGTGGCAATTTTTGACATTGTGTACATATGAGGTACCGTTCCCGAACAACATTCACCGTGCACCACACATGTAGAGTATTTTTCTGCCTTCCTTCAAAGCATTCTACTTTGACGACCATTATATTGAAGTGTACATATGTATGATACTCTACTTAGTCTACTAGCCTCACACAGCAGTCTGTAAAGCATACTCTAGTTTGGTTTCCATGCACAACACTGTAAAAACAATGTCTATAGTATCTACCTTTTCCAAAGCACTCGTTCACAAACTTACTGCAACCACCGAAGTGAGCTTAACGAATGATGAGTCTAAAATACGAAAGGAATCGACATAAATGTGTAGTCTGCGCTGTAAATGGGAGCATGTGGTAAATACTGTGACGAGGCATGCGCAGTGTCGCTGAGTAATTTTATCTCGTGATACATTGTCATGACTGGGGGTTCTTTCGATTGTCGTGCATCTCCTGCACCAGCTGCACTTTGGTGCATACCACCTTATTCGATTTACGAGTGCAGCCTATCTGAAAACACAACCTGAAGTATTCATTTCCTTGCACTTTTCTGCACCGCTGCGGGCTGGTGCAGGCTAATCGAATAAGCCCTGTGTCGTGTATTAATATGGGAGAGTTCAGTTACACAACTCGTGACCCAAGGTTGCAGAACTAATGCTACGGAATAGTAAATATTGGCAATCATGTCTTAACTGAGTTACGGAGTTCCATTCCTGTGTCACTCTTTTCAATTCACTTTTGCCCGAAAAGTAGTAGAATGTATGGTCTTCGAAAACATAATTTTTTCATACCTTGGGTAAATAAATATATTGGTCCTCGCTGGAATCTGTGTAGACCCCCAAACAGACTGTCGAACAGGGCACGTTTAAAAATAACAAAACTGACTATAAACATTTCAACAACGTTCGATCGAGCACATGGTCAATGGCACGGCACAGTATACAGCAAACGATTGGGCCTTTGTTTTCGTGTGATTGAGTCTGACTATTTGCCTAAATGAGTTCATTGTTACAGGCCTCTCGACTGGACCAGATGCGCGGGCGATTGGCCCTGGAGACGGGTCATGTTCCGCCAAATGCTGCTTTTCAATGTGTCACCCTGTAGTCGCCTACAAAGGTGGTGGTGAAGCCACCCGATGAAATGTTCCGACGATACATTTGTTAGATTACGTTTTGTACATAATGTCCTCCAAATTCCTTATTGTCATGCTTCCGACATACTGATAATTCTACCTTCCCGCCTCTATAATGCCCGCGGCATTGCGACTGATTTTGAAATAAAATATATGAAAACCTAACACTTCTTAACCCAAGAGCCAATTCTTTCAGAATGGGCCGTTCATGCGGCGAAAGCCTTTTTTTTTTTTTTTATATTTAACCCACCACGAACCAAAAAAGCGTTTCCATGCATTACGGAGCGTCATATGCTTCAGATTTTGATTGGATCCCTTCGGTTTCTGTTTCCAAGTGCATCCACGAAATGTGGCTCACGGATTGGCACAATGACTGCGTTGTTGTTTTATGTTTCGCGCTCCGATACATCCAATGCGTAGCCGGATAGTCCACCTTTATCCTTTGTGACCAAACATGTGGGGATGGAAATCGCCGAAATCTAGCCGAAGCAGAGCGCACGCGATGAACAACGCCAAGCTAGGCATCTGGACCAATATTGACGGTACAATACCGGTGACAGAGGACGCGATAACTTCTTCTGGCGCTAACTGC